CGAGAGCAACATGAACGACCTCGCTTCCGAGTGCCAGCAGTACCAGGAAGCCACCGCTGAGGATGGTGGCGAGTTCGACGAGGAAGAGGGCGGCGAGCAGTGAGACGTCACGCCAAAATCGACCCGCTGATACAAGCTTAGCCAGCCTCGCGGTCTCGGCAGCGCATGTGCCTGCGGCTGGCTAGATGGAGGAGCAGTCGGACATGGGGACAACTATCTGGCTTGCTTGCTTGGGGCTGCTGTTTGGCAGCTTTCCGGGTTGCTGCGAGAATTCGTTTCGAGCTCGGACGGCCGAGCTATCGGTCTGTACGCCCCGTGTCTACAAGTTCCGATACCCGCGTGACAAAAAAAAACACGAGCCTTGTCCCCCCAAGTCTCCCTCTCAGCCCCCGCGCCCTGATCGCACGCTTGAATGTTCGCGTACCTAAATGCTTGCACGCTCGAGCTGCTACATGCTAGCACGGGTTCAGTTCTTGTGTGCTCGCACGCTTTGACGTTGGCATGCCTGCCTTCTTGCTTGTCCACCATCCTCGTTTATCTCTTTGGCGTTTACCTTCCTACCTTGTCGCCCTGTTCCAACATATGCTTCTCTTCTGCTAATACGACTGCCGCCAAATTTGCCTCTTTTGCCCTTCTTGTAACCTCTTCGACTGATGTGATTTGATTGGTTTCCGGAGAGTCAGGCGCTGAGTTACGTGTTCCGGCTGATGGACACTGGAACGGAGAGCCGCTGCAATATCTTCCTAGGGAACCTCCAGAATGGCGCTGGCCTTCCGATGGAGGTGATGGTTGGGGTTGTGGTGCCAATGATGATGCGGATGACGATGAAGATGATGATAATGATGATGATGAGGACGATGATGATGGTGGTGATGATGATCATGCTGCTGATGAATATGGCAGTGCTGGTGATGGTGGTGGACATGGTGATGATGATGGTGGTGGTGATGGTGGCGATGATGTTGCTGATGATGATGTTGCTGCTGCTGATAATAATGGTCGTGATGACAATGATGGTGATGATGGTGATGGTGATGTTGAGCAGGAGGAGGAGGAGGACGACAAGGCTGGTGACGATATTGATGATGATGATGATGATGATGATGATGATGATGATGATGATGATGATGATGATGATGATGATGGTGATGATGATGATGGTGATGATCCTGTTGATGGTGATGCAGTTTAGGTCGCGCGCTTTGTGCTGCAGCCGCGCGGAGTCCACCAGAGGGCACCACGCAGTGGCGTGGCGGGCGCACCACGCCGCCAAGGTTTGCGACTTGGGCGCCGAGCTGGAGGCCCCAGGCCTGGTGCCGGGCACGCGGTTCCGAGTCCTCACCGGCGCTCTGGGCAACGGCCTCCTGGCCTTGGACATCGGCGTGGCCTCGCCCGACGCCGCGGCCGTTGGCCCGGACTGCGCGGCGACCATGTACCGGCGCAAAGTCGAGTACTACTCCGCGCGCGCGGACGCCCTGGCACGGCGCAGAACATCACCTACCAGCCGTTGGTGTTCACGTGCTACGGCCGGCCCCACCCCCGCACGACAGCCATCCTTCGCGCCGTCGCGACCAAACAATCGCGGAGGCGTGGCTGTTCCGACGGGTGGTGGTGGTACCGGCGCCTGTGCGCCGCGCTCGGCACTGAGGTCTGGCGTCGGGCCGCAAGGCAGGTCCAGGCTTGCTGGCCAGACCGTGAGCCGGGCGCCGCCTAGGCGTCCCGGCGGCCGGTTGGCCTCGCAACCCGCCCGCCGGCCTCCGCCCCCGCCCTTCCCCGCCCCCCTCCGCCCCCCCCCGCCGCCCCCGTCCGCCGCCCGCCCCGTCCGCCCCCCGGCCCTCGCCCTCCTTCGCCCCCCCCCCCGTTCCGCGCCCCCGCCTGTCCCCCGACGACTGACAGCGGACCGACGCCTGATGGCCAACGCACGACCCCACCGCTCCCGCCCGCCCAGCCCTGCTGCTACTCCGCAACCGTCCCGGACCCCGACGCCCCGCCCTGCCCCCCGACGACTGCGACCGCCACCGACGCCCGCGACCGCGACCGACCCGACGCCCTGCCCTGCCCAGACCGCGCCCCCAATCCCCGTTGCCTTGGCCGCGACGACGACGACGACGGCCCCCGACCACCCCCGTCCGCCACCCTCCCCCCGGCTCGCTCTGTGCTGATTTTGCTGTTCCCGTCCCTTCTCGCGGTCGGTGTTTGTTTGCTTTTTTTTTTTCGGCCGTCTCTTTCTCCTCCTTCCCCTTATCCTCCTCCTCCTCCTCTTCCTCCTCCTCCTCAGCATCATCATCATCATTGCCCTCGTCCTCCTCTTCCTCAGTAGGCTGGACTGCATTTTTTCTGTGTTCGGCGGCGGGAGCGTTTCCGCCGTCCCCCAGGGCGCCTGGGTCAGGGGCGATCGCCCACAGGCGGGCTTGGGTTTCAAGATGATGATGCGTATGATGTGGTGATGGGTTTGATGTTTATGACGATGCGGATTATGATGATGACGATGTGGGTGGTG